GAAGCTGTGGATGATAGGCCGATAACAATGCCGAAAGACCGAGCGCCGGAAGTAAACAAAATCGAGGCCGATCGGGGCATCGTGATACAACGGGATACGATCCTATCGTGGGTCGATGCGATCGATACAATTCGCACGACAGCAGCGGTACACAATTCGCATTATAATTAGAATTGAAGAAATATTGCAATTATATAAATATAAAGAAACTGCATTAATGTTTTAGCCAATATTAGCTAGAAATGTAATATTATGAGCAACATAAGTACAAAGAATATTTCTTTTCTTTTTAATATTAATATATTTCTGTTCCGCATCATTTTCAGAGACATCCTGACTGTCATGAAGTAAAAAAGGATGCTGATATCTTGGTTGAACAAGTTAGCACGTATGTCGGGGTAAGAGATTAACATAATATTGCGATTCATTGTTCATAAGCAATAATCATAGCAATATACAAATAGGATTTTTGAATTCTCACCAATTAATAATAATTAATGATTAAGAAAATTTGTAAAAGTGCTTTTAATTTAACTAATCGTAATATCTTTAGATTGAAATGTTATTATAGTTTTAATTATATTCTATTAGGTGAAACCTAAGGAAGTGAAAAAGAACAACGCAACAACAATTACAGAAGGTAAGCAGGAAAAGGTGATTGAGAAGAACGAAATAAAATAATGAAGCAAAATAAAAATAAACACCTATATAACAAATGAAACTGAGTTACAAGACAAATTAATAATTTTGAATTAATAATTTTAAAGAAATGGAACCTGTGACAAAAATTGAATCTGTACCATTTCCTGACTCTGAGGAAACATCGGAAGAAGTGAAAGCTCCAATAGAAGCAATAGCTGAATCAGAATTACTGCCTACTCTTACAAAAGAGGAAGTACCAATTGGCATAAAACCCCCTACGGCGATTTCAATCGAAGATTCTTTTCAGTCCCCTACAATTCACGAGAAAGAAGATTTGAAGGACGACACGGTCCCGTTAGCTGTATCCGAACCATATGAATCAGATATCGAAAATATAAGAGCTGAAGAAACACGAATCAAAGATATCGCACAAAATACAAAAGAAATTGAAATATCTAAAAATGAAACTGCAGAGAGAAACGCAACAGTCGAAGATCTGACAAATAATAAATTAGCAGTAAATTTAGTGGAAAATGATAAAACGGTAAATTCTACAGATAAAAAAGAAACGTTGGTTGTTCCAAAAATAGAAGAGGAAGAAGTTATATCTAATCACATAGAAAGAAACGAAAAAAATGAAAAAGACATACCAACAGAAATTAAAAAGGAAGAAATAATAGTAGAAAACGAAAGAATAAGTAAAGCATTACCAGTGACAGTAATAGAGGAAAACAAATTTGTAAAAGAGGTCGTAGAAAAGTCGGAGGAAATTCCACAATTTAATGAAACTGAAATAACAGACATAAAAGAAACGATACCACATAAGGAAATCATAAGAACTAATGAAATTGTAATTCCGCCGGTTCCAGAAATGGAAGAGGTAGAGCAAGAGAAAATAATACTAGCAACGAATGAGACAAAGGTAAAGAAAATTATACCAGAAGCAGTTTCACCAACCGTGGATATAAGCGAGGTAGAAAAATTCGAACCCAACAAATTTCCTACCGTCGATGTTGAAAAAGTACCGATTGCAAATGCAGTAGAAAAAGAAATTAGAATTGAAGAACCTACACCTATTTTGGATGTAGAAAAAGTAGAAAAAGAATCATTACTTGTGGACACAGTAATGGAAGAAAAAATCGAAATTGAAGAACCCGTACTAATAAAAGAAGAGATTAAAACTGCAGAACTGCCACTAATAACGAGTATAGCAAAAAAAGAACAAATCGAAGTCACGGAAGTGTCACCAATCGAGGATATAGAAAAAAAAGAAGATATTGAAGCCGCAGTGTTGCCATCAATTTTGGATATAGAAAAAGAAAAAAAAATTGAAGCCGTAGAATTGCCACTGATAACGGATATAGTAAAAAAAGAAAAAAATGAAGTCACGGAAATCGAGGACATAGAAAAAGAAGAAGATATTGAAGCCGTAACGTTGCCACCGATCACGGATCTAGCAAAAGAAGAAAAAATTGAAGCTGCGAGATTGCCACCGATAGAAGACATAATAAAAAAAGAAAAATTTGAAGCAGAAGAATTATTATCAGTTGCGGATGTAGTAGAAGAAAAGATTGAAATAATTCAGCCACCGACACCACCAATACCAACACCACCAACAATAAAAAGAGAAGTGGAAAAGGAGATCGAACCAGCAGAAGAATCTGTGCTCAAAGTAGAAATGAAAAAGAACAAAGACGAAGAAATAAAAGACGAAGTTACACTCCCGGAACAAGTTACATCATTTATTGAGTTACCCGAAAAGAAGAAAGAAGAAGAAATGCCTGTAGAAATAAAGAAAATACTGACGGAAGTCCCGCCGTCCAAGAGACCAACCGTCGAGAGCAAAAAAGAAGTACCAGTAGAAGAGAAAAAGCCAGAAGTGGTCCAGATAGAATTAAAAATTCCAATTGCTGAGATTAAGTCGACCGAAATAGAAATACCAGCGATATCACTCGATCCACAATTAGTGGCACAACCGTATCTAATTATAGCGAAGTTCAAAGAGAAAGAACTATTACAGATTATACCAGCAAAGCAACCCTGTACGGGATGTTATTTGGTTAGTAAACTTTATCCACTTTAATTGCCGTTCTCATTAACAGTAATTAATAATTGACAGTTTCTCGACAAATATTGTAATTTTAATTTTTTTTTTCCGCGACGGACGGTATAACATGGCTTTCTGTATATTATATGTACGGAATGTCCTAAACCTAAATTATTCGTAGTTTCCTATCTCTTTCTGGTATATACTAATTAATAACGACTGACCGTTCTGAAATGTATGACTGTTTCACTTGCAGCAACCACTGATCGAGACCGCGAGGCCGTTCGACATTCCGCAAATTGATGTTCTTCAAACCAAAATCGTACAAACCGAAATCATACAAGCCGAAGTCGTACAAACTGAACTGATCCAAACTCAGGTTGTTCAAAACGAGGTCATGCAAACCGAAATCGTACAAACTGAGGCCGTCGAAACCGAAGTTGTACAAATAACCACGCAGACAGTTTCGACCGCTGAACCGCCGCCCCGTACGTCGCCGATACGAATTATTAGTGAATATTTAAAACCAGTCGAGCTAAAACCATCGAGGACTGAAATCGCCGGCGACCGTCCTGAAATAACCGGCCGAAAAATGCTCTGGCGCAAACGCTTAAAGGACCAATCGACCGTCACGACCGCCAGCACCGGATCACAGACGGATAAAACAAGCCACGTTAGCCACGACCGAGTTGTAAGAGATGAAAGAGAACGCGCGAGAGTGCCCACGGATGAACTTTTACGATCTATAAAGATCGCCGCCGGGCTAGTGCGACCGGACACAGAACGCGAGATTAGGACGATTAATTATGGTGGGAGGTCGGAGGAAATGAAGAGGGTGGCTTGTAACTGTTGCTTGTGCGGTAGAACTCCGACTCCCCCATCGACAGGACCTAGATTAGAAATTCAACCGCAGATTGATGTGAAAACTGCAACGCCTCCGGCGGTGACTGCGTTCAAGCGTATGTTTATTCGCCCTAAAATCGATCACCCGATACCGCATGATAGATTGTGTCCCGATTGCATGGCGAAAATCCAGAGCAGGATGCCGCGCGAGAGGCATCACGTAGAGAAAATTATCAAGAAGATTTCTCGCGATCAGGAGAGCTGCGGTTGTGCGTCATTAACCGGTAAATCGTGTCGCGCGGTACCCCGGAAAAGAGCAATCGAGAAACGGGATCAGGCTTGTTTGGCTAAAATACCTAAGCGAAAGACTAATCCCGAACAAAAAAGGAAGAATGATATGCAATCGATTTTAGAGGACTCAGAAAAATTGACCGTGGACCCATTGTCCCCCAGTTGCATTTGCTTCGAATTAGAAAAGACTAGCGTAGGACCAATTAAAAAAGGAAATTGTTATTGTGCGGATTAAGTATCATTATTCTATTCAATCAGTCGTATAATAATATCTATGTACTGTTTGTTCAATTAAACACTTTAAATTGATATTGTGGCGTTCATTGCTAATGATTTCATTCATTTAATAATATGATATTAAAATAATAAGCTATTAAAAATATTCGCAATTAGAATGAGCAAGAAAATATTATAAAACATTATGACAATAACAAGATGATAAGGGTAAAAACTTTGAAAAAGTGACTAGCAGCGGAATCATGAATAAAATGTGAAAAATGCCTCGTAGAATTTAATCAGAGTGAGAATAGCGAATTCCCATATTAGATTTCTGGTTGAGACAACGCCAATAAAAAAACGGGAGGATAAAAAAGATGAGGAAAGAGATCATATATCGTACGTAAAATTTTCGATAATACGATCTTTACAATGATATATGGTATACGCGAGCAATTCCATTATATGAACAAACGCTTTTCCTATACTGTTAATTCATTCGTTGCAACGCGTAGCGCAACGATAAAATCAAATATAGAATTCATATTCAAATGTTTTTGGCACGTGTACCGTGTGCATACATATAATACATATTAAATATATCGTTTTGATTCAAAGTAGATAGTCAATTTGAATAAATTGAATAAATTTTAATCTATATTTTAAATTCAAAAAGTACTTTCATGCAATTCAACTATCGTACGGTACAATAAACAAATAAACATGGTTTTATATGTGGAATCGAAATTCTTTTCGGTTGCCATACGCGTCTCTCAATGAGCAATTTCAATCGCGATGACAGAACGGCGCAGAGCGGGGATATCTAAAGGACATCTCAAAAATTTAGTATGCCTTTCAGACATCTGCGCGACGTCTCCTATAAACATTCTTGCCGTCTGCAAGTATTGATCGGCGCTCCATGTGCGCCGCTCATCTCAATGGGTAAAATCGAGACACTCACCGAACGTTGGCCAAAGTGTGCCTGCGGGATCGCAGATTGTGGTACCCACGTAGCTCGCCGATGCTGCCCTGCTCGGCCTGCATCCTAGCCTGAGCCGTCGCGGCGGCAGTAGCGATCACGTGGTGTTGGTGCCCTCCGGGGGCTCCCGCCGTTGTGACGCTCCTACGGGAACGCCAACCCGACCTGCTGCCGCTCGGCGTTGGCGATTTTTTAGGTTGATACTGTCTGAAAATGGCGTTGGAAACGTACGTTGGCATACCAACGTGTTCACCGTGTCGAACGGCGGAGGCAGACCGCGTGTATATACCGCGTCTCTAATTAAGAGTATCTTAAATAATTATCGCGTCTGTGCAGAATTGATCGAATCCCTAATAGACTTATTGTTTCCTCACGAAAGCACTTTGAGCGACTTAACACGTCATGACAATCTGTTGCTGCGTTAAAAGGACCTCGCCTTTATATTATTCTCTATTTTTGACTTATACTCTCCTCTCTAATACCCTTTTCTTTTTGGTCTCTTTCTTTTTTTTCGCCTTGCTTCTCTGTTCACCCAAAAACTTCGACGTACTGAAGGATTCTCTTCGTCATAAAACTGCGAGAGAAATATCAACTCTTGGCCAAAGATCTATCATTCAAATATAATGAGACAGAAATGTGACATCTCATCTAAAAATAAAGATATATTACTGTAATATATGCTAGAATATATTATTTAAAGATTTTATCCTATATGAATATGTTCATGAACTACGTCGTAATATCTAAATTCATTATACCCGTATTACATAATTATAATACAGTGACGGTAACGACCGACCTTTCCGGCGCGCTCTCTCTTTCTCTTTCTCTCTCCCTCCTCTCCCTCTCTCACTCTCTCTAGACGATTTCTGAATTAATTACAACGACTAACTAGCTCGGGTCATCGTATCAAGCTGTGTAGCTAAAAGCCTGGATCAATATCGCGCGTTATATAAATCCATGATTACAATTTATTCATTATCTATCCCATTTATCACACAAAACAATAGAACAAAATAGGTTTCTCAGAACGTCAACGCGTTCGCTTTTAATCTGATCTCGATGATGAAACTCAGACATGATTATCAAGCGTATTATAATACTTAGCGTAACGTAACGTTTGTCACAACCACATCGCAAGATTTCTACTTCTCCGGCTCCGGTAACCGGATGTGCTAGGGAAATGGGCCACGACAGGGATAGCTAACACTTTTGAACCCGAGAGACTGCATACGTGTTGCCGCGAGGATCTTTCGTTGCTCATTTTTCTTTTTATCCTTTTCTTTCTTATTTGCTCTTGTCGCTGTACGGTAACATAATGCGAAAATGGTTACGACGAAAGCGAGAAAGACGGTTTTGCATCAGAGCTGTCGAGCAGCGCATAGCAAAAGGTTTCTAGAGACGTGTAAGAAAACGTGATTACAATCGATTCGCACAAATGGATAAGTGCAATGCACTTATCTATTCTAATCATGATCCGTTAAAAAAAACGCGAAAGATAATCCAGCAAAAAATAATTCGTCAAAAATAACACATAAACCTAATAAAAAATAAATGAGCTTGAGTTGAAATATTATTAGAAACAAAGAGTGGCTTGTAAATACTGGTGTATCGTCTAATAACATTTGATTGCAAAATAGATATAAGTTATTACATAATCCATCAGTTCGCGAGATTTACTATAAATTAGGCAACCATACAAAAAAGAGATTTGACAAAATATCGGCGCGTATAATTTTATATTTACAATCAAAATTGCTTATAAAAAAAGATTAAAAGAATAAACTCAACGTAAAAAGAAGCATAATAATATAGAAACCCGCTTATACGTAAATACGTAAGAAAACGCATTTGTTACATCATTTCTAAGCTCTCGTTACCGATTAACAAATAATAAACACGAAGGACACGTTGCAGAGATGGACGCATCGCGCTTGTCGACAATGCATAGATGTTATTGGGAATCATAATCGTAAATCAATACAGATTATTCTGCGTATTAATCAAATCGATCCCATTCGCTGCAGGGCTTTCCGAGCATTAGTATTCATACATTACTTCCGCAGTTCTCGTCTATGTACGTTTTGACGCGTAAGGGCTTACGTTCTACGTCAACAGATCCTGAATTATCGTTGGTGAACCAGCTCTATGGAGCATCCCGGTTACGTCAATACCGATGGTATATATACCGTATATGGTGCTTTTCGCCAATGAGATAGAACTTAGCATTTTGATACGACTGCGACTGCATTCGTCAAAATGACACGTGCGAACATGTGTCCGCGAATTATGTCCGCGCCGACATAATCCGCGAATCCACAATCTGTTACAAATCACCATCACCAATCACCATCACCGTTAGATGCCATTAGATTTATCATCGATCGACCGCGATTTTAACAGGACATAGAACATCAACAGGTTGCTTTGTGACACGGAATAAGTCGGCATTTCGATATCGCGGCGAACGGTCAATGCATATTGAAGCACGTGCACGAATTTCTGATCAATTGGACTGACTATATAACGTAACGTGAGCCAATCTCGCGAACGGAGATAGAGAGGGGAGAAGAGAGAGAGGGAGAGAGAAAGGGACGAAATCCCTGGTCGTCCTAATATAATACCAGAACCCCGTGCCGACTGCATCGTAACATTACAATCATTACATAGCCAGATCTTTGCACATATGCACATATCTATCGGCACAATGCGGCTCGTATATACGCGCCTATAGACTGCTAATACGCGGAACTGAATTCTCGAATAACATCGAAGGAAATAGTCACTTTGTACTCCCGCTCCTCTTCGCCATATCGCCATATAGTCGCATCGCTAAAATTCCGCCTCGAACTTCGAATCACATACGTGCAGTCGACGTAACGGAGATGCATAGCGCACTCACAGCTTCATTTCCATAGGACGTTCTAATTATACGAAATTCGCCTTGAAATTAGCTTACCGGACGATCTATTTCGCGACGGACAGGATGCGATCATTATGGCGTTGTAATTCAGATTGCTCACTCTCTGGCAACGTATCCCGTTCTACATTCTCAAGTCAAAGATAGAAAGTATCGCGAATTTAACGAAGTATAAAAGCTCTCGAGCGAAACTTAAAATAGCTCAGGTATTACTTGGTATTCGCGAATCAATAAGACGTGTCTATAAATTATAGGTAATCCTGGAACGCGCGTTTGCTTTATACATGCAATTTTGCAAAAAATCAGGACAATCGATATCAAACGGTGCTCGTAGATACTCAAGTTTCACATGTGAAAACGATTAAACCGATTGTATTAAACCGATCAATATGCACAAAAAAAACTCGCACCGATCCCGTTTTGCGGTGAACAATAAAAGATTAAGTTTTGTTTTTAAAATAACGATAACCCAAGTATCTCAATATCATAAAATAACAGCATTAACTGAAATATTTTTAACTATAAATGAGGAACAATCATTTAAAAGAATAATACATATATGCTAACCTAAATTTATCTGTTGTTAAATTCAAAATAAAAATCCGCTTAATTTAAACACATATATGGAGTGTTGAAAGAAGAGAGGAATAATCGATTAACAGCTTGGGCGATTTTCAAATAGTTTCTGCCTCATTACATCCTTAATTAAAATCTTATAAGTATTCCCTACATTAATTACGTCAGCCGTTTTAGCTTTCTCGAGACAAGTTAATTATTGGTTCGATCATGTTCTACCCTCTAAGTAACCCGAGAAAGCTTGCCTACAGCTATGCCTCAAGTTCGTATTTCCGTCCCAGCCACTTCCACATTTTCGCAATAATATACCATGTTAATTATCTTATAATTTTCTACAGACCGCATATGTATAAATAGCACTTTCGTATTATTAATACATCTCTCGCGCCACAGTTATGAACGAAATGTTTCTTTAACTGTTCACACATGTGTCGCTGGCAGGCATGTGCGTGCGTATCGATCATTTTACGTTTAAATTAGCTAATACGCTTGATAACGCGTCTGCACTTAGACGCTTAATAGTAATGGCCATTAGCGTAAAACCGATGGCCGCACATCATTAGAGTTAGACCGCTGAATTGAGAGGAAAACCACAATCAACGCTAAACAAACAATATTGGATTGACCATTTTCTGGATGATTATATACGTATATTAGATCTACGTATTAGTTCTTTCAGTCCGAAAGTATAAGAGCAGTCTTTAATCTTTAGCTCACATGACACCATAGACATTTATAACGCAACTCTTAAACTTGAAAAATAATAAATTTTTCTTACATAATAAATATTTTTACTTCAATAATAAAATAAAAGATTTGATAACGGATTATGTAACTGTTACGAATAATTTAATGCTTACTTGAAATTAAACCCTTGAAAGTTTACTTATTAAACGTATTATTAGGCACATAATAATTTTTCTTAATAAATTTTAGACATCAAGCCAACAGACGTGATATACATGATTAACATATTAACATAATACTTTCTTTCCTCGCTAAATGTCATACGTTTCGCATTTATTAAACACATATTTAACTAGCGGCAATTCTCTCGCGCAGCCATGTTTTATGTAATTATCGGAGCGAATATCCACAAGTTCTAGATCTATATAACGGTAGGCTTTAAAGCGTATCCGATACGTGTTCCTGTTAACCCACAGCCTGCATCTCCCTAATTCCATTTGGTCGGCAATGTCCACTCGGGGAAATTTCGGGCACGCTCTCGATGTTTCCTGCGGCTCATTGGATAGTCATGACGCACATATCACCCCAGTGATATTGACCACTTTTCACGCAAGGAGCATATACTCTCACGATATTCCTTCTTACTATTCGTTATTCCTCATTCGAATTTTTCATGTTTCCCGAATAGAAGAAATAAAAATCTAATTTTTATTAAAATAGCATTCAAAATTAATCTCTTGAAAATCTTATTAACTTATACATACTTAAAGCAATTGTCTCGGTATCCAAATTTGCCCCTGTTATTTGCAAAGTCTGACTTTTTTCATTTCTACTTTGTGATGTCGAAAAATATATACATCTGATACGTATATCTGATAACAATACATCACTCCGAACTAATGGTTCTGGAGGAAGGTTTTGAATAAAACATATACAAACAAACGTAACAATACTGTTATAATATGATATCTGTATAATAAAACGCATATATGTGTATATATATATATATATATGTATATATATATTCTCATAACATAGCAAAAAGAAATGGCTCTAGTATTTTTTCTTTTTCTTTTTCGCGTCAGATATCTCTTTCCCTTGTTAACGTATCTGATGGTATTAAATCATGACTAGAAACCGGGTGAACTACACGTGCAACGCTTATTTTAATGCGCCATATTCAAACAACGTCCAAAGGTTTGCGGTACAGCTCACAATATCCAAAGAGCGAATCAACGGGCCATAATGAAACCCAGTATGTCAAACGTGCTTATCCAAGTGCTTTGCTCTTCATACTCGTCATATTGAATCCTACATTAACGCAATATATTAATTTGCACATTTATCAATTATCATTAATTAGTATCTCTTAATATAGATCACTTCGATAAATAAGAGAAAGTTATAAATGCGTATTCGAATTAAAGTCCTCTTACGGTTCGTATGTTCCCTTCTAATTTATTGCTAAATCTTCTCTAAATGCAAGAATACAGTATTTTCTCTTATCTTTATTCGTTAAATATATTTTGTTTAAAAAAAGAAAATTAAGAAGCTGTATCTCATGATATTTTTCGCGAATTCTTCCACGTTGGTGAAACATTGGAGAATGGAGTTTAATCTAATTTGAAATGTCACCATCGTTCCAATTCTCACAGCTCTTATTGTTAGAATTTAAAAGTAGCGCGCTCTGATTTCTTTTATATTTTTTCCGATTTATTTGAACACATTCAATCCATATATGTATGTCATAAATGTATTTGTATACGCGCAATTATAAGAGTTAAAAAATAAATTTATTGTTAAAAAGCTCTTAGAAAGAAAAGCTCGAGAAGAACTGAGGGCAGAGATGAAAAAGAAATAGTCCGAAAAGTGAATCTAGATCTCGATGCAGTAGTCCACGGGCAATTATGTCAAGAACGCAGAGCAACCAATGTGAATTACTTGTAACATTTAATCCGATATAAGACATGAATAGCGTGCAGATTAGATCTCCCCATTCTTGAGATTGCCTTCCGTCGTGTGGCCAATCGAAGGTCTTTCCGTGCCATTCTCTACGAGCACAATAACCACGCGAGTCCCATTGAGCCGAGTGCATCAATCGGTATATGAAGGCGCGCTCCATATTTCAGTATTAGCAAAAAAAAAACGATAATCAAAAATCGTTAATACAATATTCGGTATACATTTTCCTAATTTTGTCTAAGAAAAAAAAGATCTGAGTGAAAGAAACTGATATATAACAAATTAGCACTAGTATTCTAAAAAAATTATCTTTTGTTACGTTATAGAAAATTGTTCCAAAACTTGGGATAGATTCATCTCAGTTATTTATATTTGCTACCAGTTATTTGCATTTGTCTGCCGGCACTTTTGCGTCACACAATTGCTTGCGTGACATATTAATAACTTTCCTCTTTCCTCGAGACGAACGATCTCGAAGGCTGAAACTAAATGTAACTTTCGCAACTGTAATGCACAGTTAAATTGGGTGAACAACAAAGTCAGGCGAGTAAACGCAATTCGACGTTGACGTCGATATGTGACAAACGTAAGTTTGATTGTATACGTGTACATATGACGCTACAACATAACGCGTAACATTGAGAAATGTGTCAGTCCAAGACAATGAAACTGTAAAGCAAACATGTATGGATCAGGCAAGAAAGTTTGTCCATCAAATCTCGCAGCAACAGACGTCTGAATCTATAGACATACGTTTCAAAGTGTAATTGTATAATGTAAAGAATGAACAGTTCCACATACGCTATTGTAAATGAATAAAAATAGAATTTTCCGTTGGTATTGTCTGGCTTATAAATGCGGAAACAAAATCCACAATGCGGGATTATGTATTTCTCCACACTGGAGAAATACATTACGTCGAGTGCGTAAAATGCTTTATTATTAATACGTAACGTATAACGATAATAATGCATGAATTACACGCATATATACACGCGAGCTGCCGTCAGTTAATTGCGATCATAGAGAGAAGGGTCATTAATTAATCGTGAAATTTAACGCATTCTATCGATATACCTATAGCAGAATATTTAATTAAATCGGCAATTAGCTACTTAAAGCGTTGTTTACACTACACGACACGATACGTTCGCATTAATGACATATATAACAATTAGTGATGCGGAGCACTCTTAAAACTCAATGTCTGCCAGGCTAATAGTAATAATTTAATAATTGTGTGCACCGTATGGATAATAATCGAACGCATTTAATAGAGATAACAAATGAGTAACAATTGAATGCGATTGTTTTAACTGACAACTATCCATAACGAGCTCCATACGACAGAACTATCTAATCATGTTTGAGTGCTACTAGATTATTACTCAACTGTAATCTTCGCTGAATGCGTCTGTTAAGTTTGATTGATACTAGTAGGGCTCTGTTAAATAAATTCAAATGCTACGATCTTAATGCGACGTAATAGTCGATCCCGTGATATATCGTATGTAAAACGTGCGACGTTAAACATTTCTAAGCGCAAGAATTTAAGAATCAAGACGAAACAATAATAAACTCAATTTCGAAACGGTTAGCGCAAACTAGATCGAGAAGCCCGCGAAACTAGATTAATGACTGACCGTTCTCGTACGTGACGACCCTCCTCATCGTCCTCCTCCTCGATGTCGTGCAGCCGCGGGCTAAGTCGATGCTGAGTACTACCCTCTCTGCCGTAATCTTCCTCCTCGCTTATTCTTAGCTCGCACTCCTCCTTCTCCTCGTCGTCGAGATCGTCGTCGAGGTCTTCGTCGAGATCACCAAGCGGCGCACGTTCCTTAAACTGAGCCACACAGATACGTTTCGGTAGTTGATAATGATATTGTCTTTCCTGCTGCAGAACTTTCTGTTGCTGATGCTCGTGCTGCTGCTGTTGGGGTTGCTGATACTGTTGCTGCTTCAGCAAAGAACTCTTCTTGGCCTCGGGGGTGGCCCCCGAGACATTAACACCACCCCCACCCCCGCCGCCGCCGGCGCACGGCAGGCAGCAAGACCACGCGCCCCCCACCTCGGCACCCTAGCGCACTCAATGTCAAAACATCCAGGGGGGCCAGCTGCAGCCAGAGTGTTCCGTTCCAAGTCCCAGCAGAGACAGCGTCCGCGATGCTGATCGACGTGCTCGCTGAGGATTAGCGGTCCCCAGATTCGAGCGAGTGAGTTGTCGCTTGAGTGTCGAGTGTCGCGATATATATCGACGATACTCGAGGCTATTTTCTTTGCTAACCCTTCAAATCGCTTTTCGAAACGATGAAATACGGTTTCGACATGAGCGCAGTCGTGAGTGCCCTTCGCTCCGATAAAGACCGACGGGATATCGACGCCTCCCGGCGTCTTCTAGCACAACTCTGTCGCCTGAAGTGCTCTGGAAGTCTTAACATTCATATAAATGAGCGACGAGCGGTCGTATCGCGGAATTCAAACTGTTGATTTCATTTTCCCAAGAAATTCAACTGCTCCTTTGCCTCGTGCTTACACTCCTTGACGTAACGTCTCGCGAGCTGCATGATTTTTTTATTTCTTCAAGGCTTCGTCTGGCGTACTGTGCAAATTTCACACATTTCTTTTTTCTCTCAAGTCACTCTTGTAAGCTATGTAAATTTCCTACGGCAATAATTTAAATAATTTAAATACGCTGAAAAGATTGTCCCTTTGCAAGGCTTTCGTTTTTTATTATAAATAGATTAGCGATGTATCTCATCTCAGTGAGTAGAAATTACCTTTGCCGGCTTTACTTATATGACTGAGATATGTTTCGTAAGACTGCAATGTTTGAATAACTGGCTTCCAAAACTCTAAATATACTTATTTCTTTTTCCTAGATTATCTCTGTGAAAAATAACAGAAATAAGGAAGCGTGTGTTTCTTTCTCGCTATCATTGTATAATCTTTCGATAGAATTTCAACATTAAAAATGTATTCAACATTAGCTTTTTCTTCTTTTATTTCATGCGATGAAACGTTTTAATTCGTCGAAAAATTGTCTCTCACATCTGAATATGCTCACACGACGAACATCAAACAATGGATCAACTGAATATCGAGCAGCCAGTGAAATTTCCATCGTGACACATTTAGCATGGTACCACATTAAATTAGTGATTCGTATTCAAGCCACGCTCGCCATCATTCTTAGGTCGTCTTGATACATAGAATTGCCTCTTAAATACCACGATAAATTCCCCGCCACACTTTGTTATCTCGGAAAATTCAGGAAACGAAGCCTCAAAAATCGTCCATCATTACTTTCGAAATCCCAACACCTTCTTTTTAAAACACTCGATTTCTTATTCTTTATACGATATCTACGCATTATTAACAAATCGATTACGGGCAAACCGCGTCTTCGAATATTGAAGTATCGCAACCTTTCGCTTTTGAACGAACACTGGGTTTCCTAAATCATGTCCTTACTCTCGACATTTATCCTTTCGCAGAGTCCATTATTATACAACATCGTCTCGTAGCAGTAACATATACAAATGAAATGATTAGCGGAGCAAGTTATCCTTTGTCTCAAGGCTTCCTTTGATCGTCTTTCTCCCTGTCCTCTTGCCCACATAATTACATCTGCCCCTGCAGCTTTTCCATCTGTCCTTAAATAAAAGCAAAATCCTCAACATCGCCCAAAGTGAGATAACCACCAGCAATTTCCTTATTCCAGGAAATATTTAATGGAAAATACCTCTTTTCAAATCTTTGCGTTTACTACGCAAATCCAAAAACATCATCATTCTCTTGACATTTTCGATTTACGCTCCTGTGACCTGTCCTCGAATCCTGTCAGTATTATCGCGTCTTACAAAGATTCCGTTTATTAGCCACGAGAACTCTGTTATCTCCTTTAGTCGACACTTGCGCTGAGTCGCCCGGAACAGTAAAACATTGTTAAGGCGCTCTATGCGCTATTTTCCCAGCGTAAGAAGTTCAAAGTGAACTTGCCATTCTCCGACTTGCACTCGAGTCTCCGCGTCCATCTTGTTTCCCCGTTCTCGCCACATTCGCGCACTTCCATCCGACTATTCACGACCCGAAGTAACCAGCTATTATAAGGTAAAGTGAACATGTGGAATCTCACCGTCGTCGTTTGCCGTCGACAAACTCGCTCGTCGCTCTTAATTTATTTCATGCTCGTCAGGACACTCGGGGGGAGGGGAGGATACACGGTTTAGGAAACTTTAAGACAACAAACCGCGACTAAGCTAGATATATCTATGCATCCTTTTGCGCCTTCTTGTTTGCAATACAGTTCACCGTCGATGGTGCTTTCCATTTGCTCGGGATGCCTCATCGCCGAGCCGTTTGTTTTTAAGAATTACAGAATCTACATATTATTACTTGTTGAATCTATTGTGCTATTATCGATTGCTGCAGTGATTGTTGTAGTATAAAACTATGTTATCCACGATTCCGCATACCAACGCTTCACTTTTTCATATTTTTATTTCAGCTTCTTGCTTTTCTCGTCACAGTTTTCTCGTATATATCAAATAGATGTTATCATGTTGTAGAAAATAGCGCTGAGATGGTAAGTCGAGGTCAGTTAGAACAAACTTTAATCAATTCTTATTTCCGTACAATAAACATTCGATTATAAAATTAACTATAACAGTTTATTTAAGATATGTCACATCTACCCCGAATTCCTCGCTGCTACATTTCGCTTCCAGTTAAACGGTGAATTTCAATCACCCCTGTTAAACCACTCTTATCCACAATGACGGTGACCGATATTACGCGAAATTAACATTGCGAAAGATCGTAGCAGTTTCAGTCTATAATCAGAGGATACGCGCAATTTTTTACGACACGCAACCGTCGGTTCGAACGCACTTCTACGCACGGATTTCCCATCTTGGCACGATGCTCGAGTTATAAATCTAAATTATGCGAAAGAATCGCTCGCGAACGAATTCTATTATTGTCATTTCTTGCGTTTAGTCGTGCATTACGATCGGCCGACATGAAGGAGCTTTCAATTTGACCTCTCGTTCAAATAACTCATTACTCAACCCTCGATTACACGCACTCACTCGTGGATTTACACTGACACTGAAATACCGTTCCGTTTTTTAAAAAATATCAGTTTACTCTATAAATGGAGTTCATATGCATGCGTTTGACGTATCGCGTAATTTCCAGTAATGATGGATGAGGCTCTTGATGACGATGACGATACAGAATCCAGACCAGAACACGAAATTGATTGTCGATCGTTGAGAAGGTTGCGCTCGGGTAAGTCTCGTAGAATTATTAGAGATATTGGACCGACGTTCTGTAAAATTTCGTGTATGATTCACGACGTGCTCGGAGAAAAAGCTTTTGTTTTATAATAGCAGTAACAGATATTTCAATATTAACCGAGGAGAGAGATACATGCAAAAGCAAGAAGTTATACGTTTTGTAATAATATCGACGTACGCACAATACCACATATTGATAATGATCGTGTTGAGATGTTAATTTTTCCGTTTACTGTTACGTACGTGTATCATTTAAATAAAGTGATTAAATATTGGAACGTTACAATCTTACTTTGCGTTTCTTCATTGCGCTAGTCTAACTTAAGATAGCCCGCCGCGCACAATCAGAGGAGCAAATCGTTATAATTAAGAGGCTGTATCGCGCGCGTGCATTTAATCTCAATAATGGTACTTTAGCGAGGGTTTTCTTCGGCGCAGGAAGCGCTAGGTCGTAAATTAAATGCAAAGGTTAAGGCTGCAAGACTCCGAAGGCTATGCAAAACGAAAAGACAAGCACGCAACGCACAACCCGATCGCGTTTCTCGGATAGAGGCGAATCTACGGTTCGATACGAGGCACGGCGAGTAACACGTTCGATTTCGCTAATAAATCAATGAACGACAAGCGCGTATTTATGACAACGTTATTTTTAATCGCTGGTCATACGGTATTTATGTTCTATAATAACGGTTGCGATAAGGAGATTCACGAGATTATTTCGACGCAGCCAATGGCGGCTTCGTGCAATTTTTGTTCCAACACGTTCACTATGTGCGACATAAAATCTAATATCCTTCGTAATCTCTCATTTATTCCTATTATTGCACATATGTGCTTTCGTTAGCGATTAATTTATTGAGTTTGGACTTTCGACATGAAACAAGCATTAAAAAAGCGTCAAAGAATAATATCATTCTGTGATTTATACTGAACTTTATCTCACACGCATAAGCTAAATAGACGAGATCGATCACTACAGACAATGCATTTTAATGTCGTTGCACATTTTCCCTCTGCTATAAATCCTCTATAGGTTACACTTTAGCGTAATGGGTTTTGTAGAACGATTGTAGAAGGATTAGTATCGAACAGGAGAGGTTCAAATGGAATACGTTGCATACATGGTGGACACGACGAATGAAGGACATTAGTAATTTAAGGGTCAGTAATTATAACCGCGCGGAATATCCCAGAAACTGTAACTGCCAACTACTGGCAACATAATTCGATGCTTAATCAGTGAATCGAACATAGTCACATATTGATATTGCAGGATGTAAACAAAAGTTTGTAGGTACCTTATAATAAATTAATGTCATCCATTTCGCGTTGTTAAGGCGAAAATATTATCACTGAGACATTCGATAAAATCTTTCATTAAACATCGACTACTATTGAATTGCAGAAAAATTCTATACTAATAATGAATATGTATTAGATAAGTCCGTAATGTAATTTCAAAACAAACAGAAAACGAGAAAGAAAATTGAAAAATTTACGAGAGAAATTTTTCTTTCGTAACAACCAATAACGTCGATGATGAAAATTTAACCGTAAAATCCTGGGAATAAAAGCGTCTTCAGAGATTGTAAATTACACTTCTCTCTTGAGATTATATCGCTACATATCATGCAGCTACATCAAGCTGCGGTAATATGGAAATAGCTGACGCCAACTAAACTGGTAAACTACTCGTCTGAAGTACAAAATAATTAATAATAATCAGTGGTGCAAACGAAAGTTGCAAAACAATCGCAATTTCAACGAGTGACCGGAATCGTTAATTGGCTTCGCGCTTCATTATATTAATTTAATCTAAACCACGAGCCTGCGAAACATTCCTTGCACTCGATTAAATTAAAGTAAATTATAAAGACCTCACTTTTTACTTATCCTAATTGCATTCAAATGATTAATATATGTATATTGCCATTAATATAAATAAAACGATCACAGAAATATGTAATCACAAAGAGTGATAGAAATAATTCGTCTTTCTTTAATTCTCTTTTTGCCATTATAATTTTCCCTAATATCACAGTTCATTAAGAAAGTTTTAGCGCGTTCAAAATTCGAGACAGTTTCCTACCGGCATTTCTGAGCAAGAAAAAAAATAAACGAGTTTGGACGACTACTGTAATCAAGCACAGCGGGATCACCGCTCCCGCCGAGGGATTTTAATTTTCCTGCAATCTACCAGAATTTTTGCCAAACCATTAAGTAAGTCACAAAATTGCTTGGAAACCAGACAAACTTAAAACTGGAAATTAAAATTGCTGGAATGTTACAAATTCGTTACGTTTCATAAATAATGTTACAAAATTTGTTGTCTATCACGAAGATAGAATGATACACTGATAAATATTTTCCCGTATATCGACACATGATATTCGTTGCAATAGATATTTTGAAAACATAATTTAATCGCATTATATGCAATATGTGTGTTACATCTACAACAAACATGATTACGTTTTACTGATATAAATATAAATTACGATGGAATATAGAATTTTATCAAATTAAAATAAAATATTATATTTATTAATTACTAAGTAATTATTGCGTACAAAATGTAATTCAAGAGCCTCCGTTAATAACAACTTTAGAAAGACTACAAACTGCATGGTTTTTTGAATCTATATATATTATTATACATAGCAGGTATATAAATATATATATAGTATTCTCTTAATTTATATATATATAATATTTTTTTTTCAATTCAATGAGAATCAAATCCTCAAACCGACATGAAAAATCGTAACAAAAAAAGAAATAAATAACACGAACAAACATACAAGTTCAGCATTTCTGACTATCGATCTAATTTTTTTATATTTATATATGTATAGATATATATAAATAATGCAAAATAATTCAATAAAATAATAATATTGCGTGTGAAACGCAATAATATTTTTACTAAACCTTTCGAAGAAGGAATTATAAAAATGTTACGTTTCATCAAGAAACGATAATAAGGTAATATTACGGTAATCTTACGGTACTGATGAAAAGAATAAAACAATACGCAAATAAATATCTTCTTCTACACGTTGTTTTCTCATTTCTATAGCTTTAAATGCATTACGAGTGCATCTATTGTTGTCGATTATGGAACGTGCCAATGCGCATGCACGGAACGTTGCGACGATTATGCCCAAGTTCACCTATGAAGATCATCGATCGCCACCATTGGCATCTTGAATATGTGTAATCGCTTTGTTAATGGTTCGCTCGATGCAAGATCACGGATTGTATTGTATGTTGAATTTGCTCTCTTTTATTTTCTTATCTTTTGTTATGTAAAGTTATGTAAAAAAAAATACATATAGTAGATGCTATAATTTTGTTAAATTGTACTTTCAAGTTAAAAAAAACTTTCAAAAAAATTAAAAAAGCTTGATTGAATAAAAAAATTTTTATATTGACAAAATCAAAGATAATCTAAAATTTAAATTTTCACCGAAGGATGAGACACAGAAATACAATATCATTTAACATATACGAAACAACAAGATTCCAAAATATATAATTCAAGACGACTAATTACGCGAACCATGATTTAGAGAGGTGAACTAAGAGAGTTTTTCAATAACGGGTAAATGATCGCAAATGACACTTAATTAGGGCAAACTATATGCATGGTGTGATAGGTTATCAACGTTTATGAATAGATTCAGGTAAATCAATATACGGATTATTAATAGTATGCGCGCGGATTGTACAGTAACAAAAGTCTCGATATTGAGAATATTTTTAAAATCGACCTTTCAAACTTAACCGGATTAATTTTTCAAATAAATATTCATATATTTTTTTATTTGATGTTACATCATCCGAACGTTTCAATTATCTAGCTTTTACGAACATAATTTTCTCTAATTCACGATCAAACGTTATTCAAATTTAATAAAAAAATGAAAAAAATATATTTTAAAAAATCACGATACATGATAAAATATGTCCAGGTATATGCGGACTGATATTATTTCTTAAATACGAAAAAAAATGGTTTTATTATCACACACACTAATCGTTAAATTGGCCAAATAATCACATGATTACTCGAAACTGTGAATTGAGTAATTTCTCGTTAACCTTATTCCAAAAATAATCGCGGCGACGCAGCACTCGGATGAAACCATGTGGCATTGCGTGACATTTGTTTCTGCCGAAGATACATTCTGCCGAAGTTGCATCAGTGTCAAGACTGTCCTTGTTCCTTGTCTTGTTCCTAGGCTTTAAAATGACATTTATCTGTCGACAACCAATGGCATTTTCTTCGTATACAGATTGCATCTCTGATACATTCGCAGCTATTATCGAATTTCTCGATGACATTTCCGCCTCACGATGAAAGTCGGTTGAATACGACAGACCATAGGATTTTAAACAGGTTTTCAAGACTCACATGTAAATGGCTTGGACTATCAATAAAGTAGTGATAAATGATAGTGACTTAACTTTTCTTTAATATATGCAATATCGTTTGCAAATATCGTCCCAATGAAATACCTAACTGTCAACAAGTTCATGAGAAGTTTAATTTAACGCGATACATTCTTCAATATGTGGCAAGGTACAAAATCATACGCGTATATTAATTAGCAGAAATTAGTGCAATCTGAATGCTTCTAGAAAACGACCGAATGTTTATCCCTTCTTTGAAATTCGTTTTCATTCAAATTATTTGCTGAAGCTATTGTGTGTGCCATTGTTGTAACTTCTAACAAAGTATCACTTCATGCTTACGTATAAATGTACATACATATATACGTATTAATATATTCCACAACAATAATTTACAATAACTAAACTAATTCGACTTGATCTGATTGCATTCTTTACAATGCAATTCTTTTAATACCGCCAGAATGTTAAATTATAAATCATAACTTACAAAAATCAAAAGCAAAATAGAGAAAGGAATTTATAATGTATGCGATGTTATACACAGATAATTCATATAGTTGAAGTACATGGATCGGCAAATATCATGCCGCACGTCCGCTTGTTCTGCACGATAGAAAGAATCTATTTCCTCTTCCATTCACACGAAAATATAACGATTTCGAGTCACGAGACAACAAAACAAGATTATACAGGAGATATTCTCACTCGAAAGCGCACGGATTGATGCAAAATTCCCTTCGGAGATTTTTAGAGATAAAAATAAAACCTGAATATGCGTATAACTTCGCCGGATTCTGGAACGGTGAAACTTGCGCAACAAGAAAATGCACGCACACTGCAGTTTTACAACAGGTGCTCGTGAGATCCCCGGCTCTATCATCTCGCGCCGCATCCGCGAGTTATACAGACTTGACGAACGCCGTCGAATGAACGTTTGTTTCACTTGCAACCGTTTCATTTGCAACCTGTCGATATTGTGCATTCTATACATAGCTTATACAAAAGTATAAGCAACAATAGCCGTCCCACGCAAAAATTAGAACCTGATAGAAGTCTGCCATCGTTACGGACTACCGCGAGTAATAAATTGATGAATCTAAATATTGATCATCTATGTGCATTTGCGATTCCCGTTACTAACAGATAGATTGTGTTACTAAATTATTGCAATATCTGTATCGATTTTACATGTATTATATATATAAATTATAATTTCAATTCGAAATTCCTAAGCTACATATCATATTCATAAACGCTCATTTAGCGCATAAGAATTTTATTGCGAGATGTCTCTTATTCGCACACTACTAAAGTGAAGTCAATTTCGCAGACAATCGGGTCGCAAATCTCACCGCGGAAATACAGAATGCAATGCACACACGAATGCGCGGGAAAGCGGTACTCTTGTTTCGCAGATGGGCGACGAAGAACGCTCTGGGGATGATGGGTGAACGAAATTTAATAGAGTGACAAAAAACGAAAACAGGCGCGAAAATAAGGGAAAAAAAATTTATAAAAAAAGACAGCTACTTGCATAGTTATAAAAATTTTAGATGAACAATAAACGGATCTCTTACGCGAGTCTGTGTAAAATGCTTACTGTAATAAAACAATTAATGTTTAACAGAACAATTTGCTTAAACATCTAAAAATTATAAATAAAAATACATCCGTGTTTCATCTCTTATTATTACAATTAGTTAAAAGCTTTAAATAATAATTTGAGAATAAAAGTCTCCTGCAGTTGGAAATAATTCACCTACGCGCGACATTATCATACCGCGTGTGTTTCAGCGAACGGAAAAATAATGGTCCCGCGAAAACAACTTAAATGTGTTTCCGTCGCTTTAGCGAAAAGTTTGAGATGATAAAACGTGAGAAAACTTGTCTATCGTTCATCGGAGTCAACGCGAGTTACTAGATAGAAAAATCGATGCGAAAATCGAGTTCATATCATAATTTATAATTGCAAATCTGATGGATGAAAATAGTCTGTCAGTCTGAGTTTATTACAACAATTTCATTAAGATAATATCTCGTGCGTTTTAATAACTAAAATTAAACATCGAATTAAATGTTCCTGCCATTCTCTCAGGATCTTCTTATCTAGTCAATCTAAATAATTAATGCAAACGCATCTTTTTGGATTAAACAGGAAATGCATAACGCTCAGAGATTTAGTTTTGTCTAAAGTGTGCAAAATATGCTCGCGAAATAAAAGCACGCGATAATAATACCGCATCCACTGTGTTTGAAAATAAAACAGATTGGTGTTTGCAAAATTAGTTTGTTTATTATTTCAAAGTCTCGATGATGCAGGGGACCATTAAACTTTTGCGCAAAACCCGAGGCGCGTACGAAATATTATTGTGAAAAAGAACACGACCGCCCATTTATCTGGCTTTTCAGAAATGGGAAGCTACAAACGCCTATTCTGCTGAGCGTATCGCAAAATTGTCGCCGCGAGCGTTTTTCTTTAACAAAATTAAAAAGTTCATCATCGAAGGATTCAGTTCTACTAACAAGGTTACGAGCGTCCATTAAAGTAATCGATCTCCCGAATAAATATTTCAATACCTTTACAAGGGCGTCCTAAACGAAATCTCATACCGCGCGAAGTAAGGAACGAAACGAAGCGTTTCTGCAACGCAATCACTTTCTTTTCCGATTTTCCTTTTAACACCGCGTGAATAAAAAAAATGGAATTTAAAAGAAAGAAGATCTGTTAATCATAATCTATTTCTTTAATACCAATGGAAAAAGATATTATAGTCCATAATCGAGAGGCGTCGTAATAAAATGTGCATCAAATCGTAAAAAAATGTCGTAAAAAAATTTATGCAATTAAGAAAAAATGACGAGTTACCTTTGAAACTGTCGATATGTAATAATAAAGTTTATGATCCTACATTGCAACAAAAGATCTAAAAGAAATTAGTTTTCGTTCTCCCCTTTATTAGACTTCCTTTGAAATCAAATGACCGATAAATCAGTTCATTTGATTTGATCTCACCTAATCGTTCGACAAAAAGTTGAATATCGCGGCACGTTCTCTCGCCATTTATCACAGATACGGAAAAAACGTTAACTGCTAGTAATTTTTTAAGTAAAAGTCCATGAAATAGCGTGCACAAATATTCATGTTACGAGAAAGACCTGTTCTGTGTTATGTAAATAAAAGATCATCGAATTCTTTTTACTATATAAACTAAAAATATATTCGCCGCACGCTTGCAACATTCGCACACGGCAATACACGTCAAAAAGGAAAAGCTCCCATTATCCCATACACTCTTAGCGCTTTTGTTCTCCCTCTAAAAGCAAACGGGCAATAAAATTCGTTCTATTTCCCTTCGTGCTGATTTAACAAAAAAAAAAGTCAAGTAAAAATTTTCTGGATCAGTTGTCACAAAGGCAGAAAAATCGAATTGTCTGATTGATGTTGATCAGAAATTTACGATAGCGTTCGTACGCATTGTTGTTACGACAATGGCACGTAAATTTGCACAAGCGGTGATGGATAAACATACGACGAGCCTCGATAAAGCATCCACCTCTCTCCCGGCGAGCATAACGCCAATAGCGTCAATACTACCTAATAGCGTGGAACGTTCTCTCTTCTATTATTCACAACCGGCGCGTCCGCCGCCGTCGCACTCGGAGACAGCACTCGCGGGCACTCCCGTGAGGAACATGCCGAAAGAAACCGAGCAACCGTCGGCCATATCCTCGCCGGTTGCACTCTACATCGAGCACGCGATTCTAGCCTCTTCCCTATCACACCCGAGAGAGATGCGTCTTCCGCTACATATCATCCACTATCGGCCCACTCGCGACGCACATGAACGTAGTACCGCTCGCGTTGCACCGGTAAATTGGAACTCGAGCGTATTGAAGTGCATAAAGGAAGATAGAAAGACAGACAGAGAGAGAGAGAGAGAGAAACAGAGAAAGAAAGAGAGACAGAGAGAGATAGGAGAGAGGAGAGGAAGAAAGACAAAGATAGATAAACGAAGCGTACGTGAGAAACGGTGAAAAACGGAGAGGCTGGGAGGAGACAATGGAGGGGTACGTAGCGAGAGATGCAAATGGCCAGGCGCGCGTTTCTCCCGTCGACGAACGTCGGAGTGTGGCCTCGGCGTTAACCGGAGCCGAGGCGATGTGCTCTCGTACGCCTTCGTCGTATTGACGTTGACGGCGGCCGAGACCCAACTGACGAAAGGGTTCTCTCTCTCTCCGGCGGCGACGCCGCGCCACAGTGCCGTAGCATCCGGAAAAGCGGCGGATTTTCCGAGTACCCGAGCGATGTCCGAGGAGGGGTGGCGGGCATCTATGCTACCGACTACCACCGCGACTACCCTCAGCGCCACTACTAGTATTCCGCGGACCGGCGGTGGGTCCGCAGCCCTGGCTGTTTTGCAAAAATTAGGTCACCCGCACCCACCCCTTCACGTATCACCACCAACGGTACGGTATGGTTCACGCGGATGCATGTGCGGCGTCTCTTCCACTTCCCTACATACATATTCTCTTTACGTCTATCTCTATCTATCTATCTATTTACCTATCCACTCATCTATTTGTTTGTTTATCTATCTATGTGTATCTATATCCACTTATCTGTCTATCGATATGTCTATGTGGCTATTGTATATTTTGTTGTACTTCCATTCTCGACGCATGACACTTTTTTCCCACCGATCTCGTCCGGTAGACCAGTATGCGATTGTCGAGTTGCATTACCACTGAGTTTCCATCAGTGTTTCTACCTCTGGTATACCTTGTCACCATAAATCGATAACAGTTGCCCTTTCGCGTGATAAGATGGAGAGCAATGGAGAGTAAGAAGGATCCACGCGGAATACCGGTAATGGCTGTGACTACACGCAAACTCCAATTCCTATTTTACATTTCTATTTTGTTCGTACCGATATAAATGTGTTAGGTCACATATTTGTAATTCAAATAACCTTACAGTGTATATAACTATAACATTAGATAATAGATATAAAACGTTAACGATATACGAAAATAGCCAGTAGCCAGAATACTCGAAAACGCGGTCTTTTCCACTGGAATACAAAAGCATACGATATGTCCTTGATACGCAAATATTTGATATTATGTTATTTTTCTCCATTCTCCAGCTGTAAGTCATGATAAACCTCACCCTTCTATCGCAACTGTATTTTTAATCACATTTTATATAATCCCCTTTTTGCTACGTTCTCGTCGATTAAACGACGCGACGGAGAAATATATATCTGCAAATATATACACATACGCATCCTGACAGAGTTAATTTCTTTGCCAAGCCTTTAACGGACCAATTACATTCATCCGCGATAAACGATCGAGCACAAAGCAGCAAAGTTTAATTACTTTCGAGAGCGATATTCGCCGACTCGCAAATCGGTTCCCTGCTAGATGAAACGTTGTGTTTGTCTTAGGTGTTTATGCGCGGAGTTTCTTTTGAAAAGGCGATTCAATGAAGCTATTCAATTGCGCACAGCTTATATGCTACACTCTTCAAAAACTATACCTACAAGTTTCAAAATTCAATATCTATAATTGTAGAACGAGGTTCATTATTCTAATTAGTAGTCGGTATAAAATGTTATTTAATCATCGTAAAATATCTCGAAATGAAAATGAGTAATTTGCGTTATTGAATATCGGCGCAGATTTCGGTAAATTTATTGAAAAAAACTAACGGGCGCTATTTGCGCAGATAATTAATTAGCGTTGCCTTTCGATATTGTATACCAAATATAATATTTGCTTTCATTGTTTTGCCGCGCGCATAAGCTATAGATTGTAGCGTTAAAAATTTCTGTAGAGGGAAATCGACTCTCACACGTATCGACTGCCACATATCGCGCTGATATTTTCCATAAAACGTTTCCTTTTATCCAGAATCAATCCCAAGGCAATACTGTATGCCATAAATCATAATGTCATTGTCCGTAAAGAATAACAGTTATCGTGGTTTTATCACCCTCTCTTGAATTTTTGTCCGAAGCGAAAATTATTAAACATATCAAATTAAAATCGTAATACGAAAACCCATTATCGTGTGTTAATTTTTGTTTTAACTTAAATTACCTCTTTTTGTTGCACTATCATAATCAACTTAAATTTAATATATCTAAACTTTATAAATACATAATTTTTGCTATTGTCGCTAATGAACTTTGCCGTTTTACACTCTTGTTTCAAATCTCACATAAACTTCATCCAAGCACAAAGCCTCGTCTCTCTTCTCTCGCGCTGAATATATCCCAGTCATTTTATCCCATTGTTACAAAAACGATTGACTCTGAATATTATATTCTGCTTCTCGTTATCGCTTATAATAATTAAATCCTTTATATTACAGGTTGCACAAAGATCGGAGCGATGTTTTTAGCGTAATATTCCTTCCACTATTCCCAGTTAACCGCCGCAATAATGAATATTGAAATGTCGAAGTAAACGTGAATGGCGAAATAAACAAACTCTCTGATCTAGAACACAATGTGCGGACTGAAGCTTTAGCTTCGCTAAAAGCAGATGCGCGATGCATTAAAGTGCATACTAGAACGCGAGAAGAGCGTTTTGGAAGCTCGAAAACAACCCTATGGTAATTTATTGATCGCAAGTCGATATTTCAATACGACGCATCGGGCAGTACCTCGACCTGCATCTCAATCCTCGTCCCGTAGTGATTACAGACGAGTATCGGATAATTGGACAATTAGCGTGCGCGCGGTCAGTTTAGCTGTTAGAACCGTCAGTGTCACTTGAACAGAAACGATCATTTCGTACGTGACTGCGTACTTGACTGCGTACGTGACATACTGATGCACATATAACGCAGCACACGCCAACTGTCATCTACATCGATAAATGACCATTCAAGTGTTATAAGTAGCGTCTTATTTGACCAATTAGCCTCACGATTATTTCCGTGTAAAAGAACAATCAGGTGTTTGCAGTACATTTTTAAACCTGAAAATTTTAATTTATAACATCTGATATATGTACTCTCCGCATAAAGAATAAAGAAATAATTACGCTAAATATTTTATTGCGGCGCGTAAATGTCGACATAATTATTTCAATCTTGTGTTTTTGTCACACCAAATCTATATATTTGTTTCTTTCCTATTTTCATTATATTGGTAGCAGAATAATTGGAAGTAAATATCGCGAAAGATTTTTAATAAACTATAACAAACGAATACAGCATGCGAAAACCAATCAACTTTGCCGTCCGTCGTTTGAGTGTCGGTACGCTTCAAAATTGAATCGGGCTGATTACTACAGGCCGACCGGACTGACGCTTTTCTATATTTCAACCCCGATTTCTCATCCACTTTAGGGTTTCTATTAGATTGACTTCATGCTGAAAACGTGAAAGATATGAGAGTTACCGCGTGATTCCATGCGGAATTCCCGTCGTCATCATCTCTCTCTAATATAAGAGATATTATACGAGAATAAAGGCCACGGCCCACCGATAAAAACCGACACTAAGCCCCAGACACGTTTTTTTACGACGCCAAAGAGGTAGAAGCATTACTTCTTTTTTTACGATACTGCCCCTTTTTATGATCGTAGCGTGTTTCTCATTGTAACACATTTATTCATTTATTTATTTGTATCACTAACACAAAAATGGATTAATTTGAATTAACGCGTGTTTTCAATTTCTTTCACTATTATTATTCGTATTTAATCTTCGAAACATCACACAAAAACGTGGAAAATTTTTCTCAAATAAATCTCTATTTTTTCGTTCGTCGAGGATGAAATTATTACGTTTATTTGTTGGGGATCGCTCACGTTACGGATTTTACGTCGACATAGCAAAAATAATAAATAAAAAACTAGGTAATATATTCATTTCTCGAGCGCATTGTTTATATTTCGTTATATTTACTAAATATTAATCTCTCAGTAATGTGCGATATGTTCTGCTCATCAAAAAGTTAAAAATTACACAGATTTAACCGAGAAAATTACGTCAAAAAGTAATATTGACGAATCAATTTTCCACATGTATCGATATATATCACCTGACTCAATGAAGTTTATACCGTATGTTCCTGAAAGGGCAAACCTCCCGATATTTCCGTATATGTTCTAACCTGACCAGAAATAGAGATTACTTAGCGATTTTGCCGACAGCAATTTATCGATATATTGGCACGCAACTTGTCCGATAATAAAGAGTAAATAAAGACTAAAATAGATTATGCTCTCGTCGTTGCAAGAAGGACTCCATAAGAGGAGTGGTATAAGCTCAAAGGGTCGAACGAGAATGAAAATAATGCACAAAATAAACTCCTTTTGCTACAATAATATTGCAGCAAAAGCTTAATAAATGATTACTTACGTTCTCAAAATACTGTCTTGTGACAAACTATTACGACAAAATTTCCTTGGTTGATAAAGTTCCGTGATTGTTGATTCGTGCAAATTTACAGAAATTGTATAAAATAACAATTACAAAATATAACCGATAATTTGCGCACATTATCAAACGGCATATTACAGAACAGCTCGAGTGGAGCTGTTCGGGCGCAACACCGACGAACATGTACGGCTTCCAAATCTCAACGAACGTGGGCTCGTTAGTGATATGATGTAACGCGTAATTTGCGCGTAATTGGCGAGATGTAATAGATCATTAGAGTTGTTCGCCTCAAGCATACAATGTAAACTCAGGCTAGGCGTAACAAGTTGGTATACATCTGGAACAACAGGATGTTTATACATAATGCATATACGGTGGGTAAGTTGAGGTGATCCGAAGTACTTCGCGCACAATACAAGACATTCGTGTCTCAAGTGGCTGAAATTCTTTCCCCTCTTCCGGGAGAACTCGTTCCCTCGCCAGAACGTGATCTGCGAAATATTCTTGTTGCCGGTGGCACATACGGCGGCGCATATGTGACAATATACACGCCACGTCTCGCTACGAGAGTATCACGGGCCACCTAGCTACTGGTACGAAATTTATTTTGCAACCCGACGGAAGATTGATACTCCTTCGATGACTCCATGTATCACATTACTCGCGCACATTTTTCTAACATTCAATATATAACGACATATTGCCTTACATTTCATGTTACCAGTTACGAGGATACATATAAGTTTCCGAAGAATGTGTCATCATTATATATCTCGGCATATTCAACAAATGTGCCGTGTTTTTTT